ATCTGCCCCTTCTATTCTTCAATGGCTGCGGGTCTAGGTGAATCTTCTTAATGTGCGTTTTAATGTGAGTTGACGTCATAAATGCCCTGTTGCACAGCTGACACACATGCCTGCGCTCACCCGTGTGAACCTGCGAACAATACATCAACAGTGCGACACTGTACAATAAGGCTTAGAACGCACTCATCGGGAGCGGTTGAGGAATAGCTGAAAACGCATAACATACAACCGCGCACTGCGGCTGGTGTGTAACTTAATTTTATTTCAGTACTAGTGGCCCGCCCTCGCTTCGCTTCGGTGTAGAGCTGTAGTGTAAACTATAGTTTCTGTTCTCAGGCTTGTGTTATAAACAATGACTTTATTTGTTCTCAGCCTTGTGTTATAATAATTACACGTGTTATTGTGAGTCAACCATAAAAGATAGACATATGCGGGATATTTTTTTAGACAATTTTATGTAGAATATTTCCTCCGTCATACATGATTTCTATGTAACTTTAACCATTAAAGCTGCACACGCGACGGAAGCTTAAAAAATGGAGTAACTTCTCCCGTTTTCCAACATTTCCCTTCACTACTCTGCTCCTATTGATTGTAGCGTGATGAAAAGTATACTATAACCTGCCCAGGAGCTCTACTCTCTTTCTCCGAAACGAAATTTCGGCAACGAACGAATTTTTAACGAAATTTCGCCAGTGACTCTACTCTATTTCATCTTCGAACACGCACATAAAGTTCGGAATCACAGACAATTATCGTGAACGAATGGAATGAGTTATGTTTGTGAGTTCTTTTTGTCTACACTTTTTAGATAACGTTTTTTACTTCAAAACAATATTACTTTATGACAACATTTTTGATTACATTAAAACAACCTCTTTTGACAGTGTTAGCCGACTAATTTGTAGAGTTGATGCAATCGGATGTATATCAACCTAAATTTGTCGTATAATACTTTGAAGCATTGGCAATACATTAAACAAAAATTTGATTTCTTTGTAAATTTTTCATACTTAAAAAATGTTCCTCACGCTAAGTAGCCTTAATTAAAAATACTGTAGTAGTAATTTTAGGATTAATTTAAATAAAAATCCCAAAACGAAAATGAAAAGGTTGGTAACACTTTTCATTTCGTCAATTTGAGGTTAAAATTTCGAACAATTGTCTGTCAATTTCAACTTTTAGTTCAAAAGTTTTGTGAATTAGAGTAAGCTTAGAGAATTTAAATGTTAAAATATTTTCGGACGAACGAATTTTCGAAATTAAATAGAAACAGAGTAAGGAACGTGCGAAATTTCAATCGAAATTTCGTTTTTCGTTGAAATAGAGTAGGACTCCAGGAGTATGAAGAATAATTGTACCTACCAAGTTTCGTTAAAATTCGTCGAGTAGTTTTTGTTTCTATAAGGAACATACATACAGGCAGACAGACAAAAAATTTACTGATTGCAGTTTTGGCATCAGTATTGATCACTTATCATCCCCTGATAGTTATTTAGAAAATATATTTCATGTACAGTACAGAAATGACATTTATTCAGTCTAGGCTGTTACAAGCCTAAATTAAATTCAGTAGTGATTTTAATTGAATATTTTGAATATTTATTTAATTTTACAAGTTAAAACTGAACTAAATTGACTGTGTTAACTATCCTTTTCCAGTCCTCTTATTATTTTATTGTAATTATTAATTATTTGCATGCAATTAAAAAATATTTTAATGATGCTAAAGAAGTATAACTTCTCACGCGCGTACATAAGTTACACGCATCCATTTTTTATAATCAGCCTTGCTGTTGTTTTTAAAATCAGTCACTGAAAAAAGCCGCTAATGCGTGCGCTTGTATGCTTTGTGTTACATTTTTTTTGCGGTTTCAGACTTGCGATAAACGCGTGTCTGAAACCGCAGTGCGTTCTAAGCCTAAAGGCTCAATTTTTACCGCTGCGGAATGAGATACAACGGAATCGTCAATTTCGATATCGGAATATTATCTCCCCTAACGGCCGCCCTTGGGGAGACACCAGGATTTCTATAGTACTGATGTCTCTCCTTACAGGAGGAGGCATCAGGACTTACTTTTTTAATTGTAAATTGTGTAGGTATCCGTATATAAAGGATGTTACAAAAATACAAATAAAGCTTCAAGGGCGTTGAAGTACATCACAAAAGGAGTATTCTCTAATTTTCTTAAAATATTTGCAGGAAGTTTTTACTTTTTATAAAAACAGTTTTAATGATAAATAAAAATATCGATCATTTTAAGACACGTCACTAGTTCCAGGATCATTAAAAATAACTTTTAAAAAAGTTAAAACTTCATGCAAATATTTTAAGAAAATTAGAGAAGACTCCTTATATAATGTACTTCAACGCCCTTCAAGCTTTATTTGTATTTTTGTAACACCCTATATATCCCCTTATCAAGCTTACATTAAAACTGTTTATAAAATCATTATTTTTAAAAAACAAGGTACATGGTAACAATCCCGTTAATAGCTATAATTTTTAAAAAAGTACCAAAATAAGCTAGCTACTTTTCTCAAGCTTTGTAGGGTACAAAGGTCCCGTGATACTTGAATGTCATAAAAGTTTTTCCAGTCAGACATCCGAGGACACTTGAGTGTCCTCTGAGGGCGGTCGTGTTTTTTGCTCATTAGCACGCATAGAAAGCATCCTTATCGCTGCTTGTGGTCTCTTTAGTTTAGGCAGATTATACCTATAGATGGCGTTGTAAACAAAAATGCAGTGCTCTTTGAACTTTAGATTTTTTTACAACAGAAGTACGCGCTCTGCGAGAAATGGTGACGCCATGGACGTTTCAACCAAAATTGGGGTCCAATTTTGTAGAAAACACTCTTTTCTCATTGTTTAATCCTAAAAGTGTGATATATCCACAAGTTCCTCAAGATTTACCCGTGTCAGTGATGTGAAAAGATTGTAGTTTTATTTGCATTACAATTAAGAAAAATTATGAACACATAAAAGCTTTATTTGTTACCTAAGTTTATTTTATTTCTTTCTTATCTTAAGTATTTTTCGAAATATTTATTTACGAAAAATTACTGTAAAAAAATTGCAAAATATGGAAAGGTAAGGATTGTTGATAAAAACCATGCACGTATTAAAAACAACTTTTTTTTTAAATTAAATAGACTTAGGGTACGGCCAGAGTGCACTCAGATTCAGACTCAGAAAACAAGCGCGAGAAATAAACAGTGAAGTTAAAGCAGGGTGGCCATAGTGGCAGCAGGCAACCTGCTTAAACTACACTGTATATTTCTCGCGCTTGTTTTCTGAGTATGAATCTGAGTGCACTCTGGCCGTACCCTTACGCTTAACGGTCACGCGACTGACGAGCCTAGGGTGGGACGCGCTTGCCTAGAAGAAACCGATTCACTCGCGACTTGAAGAGCCGAAGATTATAGGTGACTGGAAACAGAGATTCCGGCAAAGAGTTCCACAACCTAGCTGTTCTGACGATATAGGTGGAAGCAAACCGTTTAGTACGAGTTTGCGGGACCTCTACGGTATATCTGTGGCGTTTTGCCGTCTCTTAGGCACCTACCAAATGTTTAATATTTAACTATTCAGGTGAAAAAGGCGTGAAGAAGCAACATGCAGGCCGGCAAGGTGAGGATTGCTGGTGTGGCAGGTAGAACTGCTGTTCCAGCTATCTTCACGTCTGGACTTCACCATCACTTAACATAAGGTGGGGTGGAGTCATTTGTCGGACCTATCTATAAAAAAAACCTTTACTAAGGAAGCACCATATACAGGCGACCAATCAATGGCACTAGCTTTAATTTAATTTTGACGACCTCCGTGGCCGAGTGGTTTGTACGCCGGGTTTCATGGTATCGCCGATTCGAGAGGTCCCGGGTTCGAATCCCGGTGGGGGCAGATGTTTGTGTGATGAATACGAGCATTTGTACTTCAGTCATGGATGTTTACTATGTATTTCTATATAAATATACTTATACATGTACAGTATATGTATTCTATCCGTTACCCTAGTATCCCATAACACAAGCCTTCAGTGCTTACTTTGGGGCTAGGCTAATTGGTGTATAAAAAAAAATACAAGCTTTTCTACAATAAGAATCGCGAAATTTCTAATGGGGCACAATGGTCGGCTTAGCTTTAGGGGGTTTTACTTTCAACGCCAAGAAAATCAGGTCGAGAGCAAGGGCGGATCCAGGGGGGGGGGTCATGGGGGTCATGACCCCCCCCCCCCCTGGGCAGGGTACAGATGGACCAAACCCAGGGGGATTTTATTTAAGTACTTTCAATCGCCAAAGCTGGATCCGCCCTTGGTCGAGAGGACGTTTTATACTACCACACTAATATTATAAATGAGAAAGTGTGCCTGTCTGTTAGTTACCGCTTCCAGTTAAACACACACGCACACGCATCCGCTTAAAACACTTGGTCAAACCTCACTTAACTTGTTAGCTTATTTTACCTATTGCTGATCACTTGTGTACAGTACAAAGGACAATGGGCAAAATTGCATGGACACTGCACCCACGTCCGCCACGGCTTAAACTACATTTGTTTGAAAGGTATCATAGTCATGATCATTTGTGCCAAAGCGCATCAAATTCCATCCCGGGAGTCTTTAGTTATTTTAAGTTAAATAAGGACTATGTGCGGAAACCTTAACCCCTAATATAGTATGTTAGCCTGGGTATGTTACCCAGGTGTATATCTTTTGAACCCCAGGTTATTTTTTTTTGGTGCCATAATAAAAAAGGCTAGTTTCTCATAGATCTATCGATTCATACTAATTACATTGTTGGCGGAGCTAGGTGCGTTTTGCCCATTGTCCTTTAAGGGAAACCTATAATTGGCATTAAGTCACAACAAAATATTGTAAAATAATAATAAAAAAAAACTGGGTCGACAATATATTACTGAACCTCTGCGAAATAAATACCAGTATTCCCATCATAGGACTACTCCACTGGCATTACTGGGAATACACGGATAGGGTAAGTTGGGCTGATCCAACCTTGTTGTCAACTCTGAAGTTTACAACAAGGTTCTATATCTTTGTCCTACAGAGAAACCCAGTAAATCAACATTAGATGATAATATGAAATCGACTTTATGGAGATGAAAAACAGAGTTGATTTTGTACCATCAACTAATTTAAATTTACTGGGTGTTCACTGTACAATGACGATATATAACTCTGCCACATCGTTAAAAATAAGTCATTATTTAATTACACTTTTATTTAGGCATTTTTGACTTAAATGCTAGATTTTTCATTTTAAACTAGGAAAATTTCAACTCGTAGCAAAGTAAAAGGCATCAGGCTTTTATTGTAAAAATAGTCTTGATATTTTTAATTTTTTAAAGCATGTAACTGCTTGATGTTTAAATCTAAAGAAAATATAACTAGAAAAAAATCCACGCGGACCACGCAGCAGACGGGACTCGAACCCACACCCTTCGCAATCCGGGCGAATGATTTTTTTCTAATTATACTTTTTTAGTTTTGATATTTTAAAATCTAGCAGTTTGATGCTTAAATCAAAAGTATAATCATCATCAGCCTATTAATGTCCCCACTGCTGGGGCACAGGCCTTCCCTACGGATGGAATAGGGAGATTGGGCCATGACTATATAAAATTATCTGTAATTCATTTGTTTTTTATTTAATTGGTTTTAGTGCTGCCGTCTATCGAGAAATTAAGCATTTTCTTATACGATAACGACAGTGCTTTTTTTATCAAGACTAGCACAATAAGCATGCGTGCTTAAAATAATCTAACCTTTAAAATAGTTCGCTTAAAATTCCTTAGATGGAGCGCGCGATTACAAATGATAATAATGATTTATATCCAAATTTCACAACAATTTTACAGAAGTCTAGCCCCCACACTAGGCTTAGCCTGTCCTGTGGGGAAGGAGTTTTGATATACATTAAATAAATGTGACTAAATAGGAAAGCAGAGTTGATTTACAGAATACATTTACATAAATACCTACATAAATTTAGTTTGTGTGTGTGAGCGCGTGTGTGTGTATGTATGTGTGCGTGCGTGTGCGTATGTGTGGTGTGTGTGTGTTTCACGTTTTAAAGAATAATTTCATATGATAATATCCATTACGTTTTCAAATTCTTTGCATGTCAAATTCATTACAGCTATGGACACAAGACGAGGTGTTTTATTCACAGTAGGTACACTTTTTTAGCTGACAAATGATTGCTTATTTATTATAAATAAATGGAAGAAGGATAGAACCGAACCGCTTTGCAAAATATGTGCACGTTGTGATATTGGGTAGTTTATAAATACGTTTATTAACCAAATTTTTATACCCGTTGGACACAATGAGGGCTACCGTTTTCTGTCTCACCAGATGGCGCCACTGTTGAGTGACGTCCTAAATTGTAACGTTTTAAAGTTTATTAATACGCACATGAAATCAAAGGTTACATTTAGATCGTATTTTAACACAAAAGAACCATATCCTAAACATAATAGGCCATGCCACAGTGACGCACAGTTCCGTTTTATTCGGAAAAAATGAGAACATAATCATTTTTCTAAGCTCAAATTTTTAATAACTGACATTCATTGCCACGTAACTCATATTTGCCATAATTAAGCCGAATTGTTACCAATTATTCACAACATTATTTTAATTAGAAATAAACACGCGTAGTCAACCAACAAGCAATAACATTTGACATTTCGGAGACCTCACGCTACACTAGCGCCTCTAGCGGCGGATTCATACGCGATAGCCCTCATTACAGTCTTGTGGACCGAAACAGCTACTCTCACGAAGTAAAGTCTTCTGCCGCTTAGGACCTTAGCTTCTGTGTAAAGAGCATCATTTGAAAAAAGCATAGGTTTTCGGAGTGCCACCTTTAAAAGCGCTCTCTGTGCTCTCTCGAGTGGAAGTAATGTTAAAGAACTAGAGCCTCCCCAAACCAGGATGCAGTAGTTACATTTTGACAAAGAGCCAGATATATACCATCTTTAAGACTTTTCCATCTACAGCATCTTGAAGATTTTAATTGCGAGTAATGTATTATAAGGCGTTGAGCAGACGACGGGGCGGGGCGGGCATTTTGTCCGCGAAGCAATAAAGACCGCGTCTGCCCGTCGATGTCCCGCGGCTGCCCGCGCCGCGTACACAAAGCACACGACGGGCAGAGGCGGTCAGTTCAGGACGTTCGTTCTAGTGAATAGTCCTAGGCTTGTTGAAAACATATCGATGTATCGATATATCGATATTTTTTGTTCGATATATCGATATTTTTTGCTGATATATTTTGATTCGATATATCGATACATCGATACAAAATAACCAATATCGTATCAAAAACGATATTTTTTTTTATTGTTAGCGGCATATCACGATCTAACTAAATTCGTATCTGGAAAAATCGTAACTGGATCTCAGATTAATGATATTCAATATATCTATGATCTGTGCTGTATTTAGTATTGTCTATGTCATCATTGGAAAATAGGGTCTATTTTTAGGGAGAAAATTTTCGTTCCATTATTATTCCGCGTGTCATATTTCGTGAGCTACTGTACGATATTTTTAGGAAAATTGGTCCGATATATCGATATATCGATGTTTTTTTCGCGATATATCGAAGCCGATATTGATATTTTTTAAAATATCGATGTATCGATATATCGATATTTTTTTCAACTTTCGACATCCCTAAATAGTCCATCACTAATAAGCGCGTGGCGCGGACTGAGCTGACCGCCCCGCCCCGCGCCGCCGTTTGCGTTACTGCATATAAACTGGTTTGTATGATCCACGGCGGGCAGCCGCAGACATGCCGCGCCGCCACTGCCCGCCGGGCACCCAAGGCGCGGTCTTTTTGCCCTCTGTGTGCGTTTGAAGTATAGGATTCACTTTGTGCTATTATTCGCGGCGAAATTGACCAGCCCGCCCCGCCCCGTCGTCTGCTAAACGCCTAATTTCCCTCCGCAGGCAGGGCGGGTCAGATTGCACGAATGGATGGGGAAAAATGGACACACAGAGTGACTAGTTGGCAGGGACTTACAAATAAAAGGTAAAGAGGTAGACCGAAAGAAAAGTGGGTTAATGAAGTAATAAGAAAGGCTGGTGAAAATTGGATTACAAAAGCTAAGGACTGACTGAAGAGGAAAGACAGACGTGGAACAAAATGGAGGAGGCCTTTACTCGTTGAGGGTCCATAATGACATGCAATTATTAATTACTTTGACATTTAATTATCATTTAGAATTTGAATTTCATTATTATTATACTCTCATTTATTTCATTTCACAAGTTAGGTTTTTTATAAAATAGATATAAAAGTAAAATACAAACACGTAAATACAAAAATAAATATAGTATAAAAAACCTAACCTAGAAGGCCACCAGCAGCGGAGCGAGGCCCAAGCTACCGGTGGTTAGGGCCGCAGAGAAAGAAACCGCCTGACGATGAGCGCCGTGTCCAGGAGTACTGCCTTTTGCATCTGCCCCTTGACCCAACCATCTAGCGAGAGGCTCTTTAGATGTTGGTCGAGACTCTTCGCTATGAGACCGTTTACGCTAACGACTATAGGGACAATGATCGTCGAATCCACATCCCACAAAGCGGTTACCTCGTGGCTCGTTTATTATTATTATTATTACTTGACAATTGTATGAAATGAAAATTTTAAAATGCTAATTGTAATCTAATTTATAGTATTAATTGTTTCAATACATTATTATTTCATGCATATACTTATGAATAGTTCTATGATATTTATTACTTGTTCGTTATGGAAATAAAGAGGCTATATTATTATTATTATTACTTGCCCTCCGTGTTACAAACCCGTGCGACGCCCTGTATGTACTAGGGCTTCACATTTTTAACATCTCGGTGGCATAATGGTTTGTGCGTGCGTCCGGGCTAGCCAAAGTTGCCGGTGCAAAGAGAAAATTTTGCTAGAAAAAAATCCACGCAGACCAGGCAGTAGACGGGACTCGAACCGTGCGAATGCACTTACCATTATGCTCTACCACAACCCTGAGTGCATTCGCCCGAATAGCGAAGGGTGCGGGTTCGAGTCCCGTCTACTACCTGGTTCGTGTGGATTTTTTTCTAGCAGAAATTGCTTTAGATTTAAACATCTAGCAGTTAAATGCTTAAAAATAACAAATAATGCTGGTTAATTTCAGGCCTGATGCCTTCGAACGAGTTAAATTTTTCTAGAAAAAATAAAAAAATATCTTAAAAACTAATCTACCGGTCGAGAAGAATAGAATTGGATGGCGAAAGTTCAATAGGGTCAATGGTATCTTCTAGAGGGAGCTGGTGAACAGGTTGCTATCTCTTTCCCTCTCACTGGACGTATAATCTTCGGCTCCGGTCCCTCGGGGGCAAAGGAATCTTCATGTGGACAGTCTTTATATGGGTCTTCACGTTCGTTGATGTGATGAATGCTTTGCCGCAAAGCTGGCAAATGTGATTGCGTTCCCCCGTGTGTATCTAGAAAGAATGGTTTGAACAATCAGCCTTGATGGGCCGCTGCTTTTATTCATGTCAAAACGTAAATAAGCATATCGTCGCTTAAACAACAATACCGAGGAAGTCGAAAAATGACGATGTGACGTTTTGTACATCATTGGATAAAACTTTTTGCCGCGCATCCAATGGTAATATGTAAAATTTCGAAATTAGCCAATCACAGCACTTTATTGAGTTGTACTGGCACCGTGCAAATCGTTGACAGTGTTACAACCGCACAAGTCGTCAGTGCACCATAGAAAATTGTGTTAACGTGAGAATTTCCATCCACCACGTGAGAGCACCATCTGGGTTTTCAACTAGAACCCTTAAGTCGGTCACAGTTGGATCATTGGCTTTCTTTCCCGGTCAAATGCTTTAATAAATTAAGTCTTTACTTAAATTTGTAAAAAAGCTATAATAGGCACCCCTGATGGTAAGCGACCAGCGTAGCTGCCTACCGTGACCTGATGCCCTAGCCCGTGGATCACTGATATGTAGTGTCATTTCACTTCGGTGAATGCAGTAAGAGATAACGTATATTCATAATCAAAATCATTTATTCAGTTTAGGCAGTTACAAGCACTCATGAATGTCTAGAAGCTACGCCATCGGTTCGTAAATCTACGGCGGGAGACCTTGTACTGAGAAGAACCGGCAAGAAACTCAGCAAGGGCTGTTTTTTTCTCCCTGTTTTATTATTTACAGAGTCGTCAAATTGAAAAATGACTTCAGAGGTGATTCATAAAGTCACTTTTCATTACATAATTATTAAATATACATTAATTGTTTACCTGCATTTTGATTGCTGTGTCATACAGTATAAATACAAATAGTGTTATTTATATTCAGTGTGACTAAACATTAACTTCAATATTAAGGAAGTTAGGGCAGACTCATCTCCGCTGGCAGCACCCGTTCACCCGTTTATTGTATTTGAATTTGGTCAATGGCCACTCAATTAATGTATCTACCTACTCCTGCGACTAGTACAAAATTACTGGCTGTGTTCAGTAGTTTTGTGAGGGTAAACCTTGTGGTGTGAATAAACTCTTCTATTATTATTCATCATATCATCATATCAGCCGTACGACGCCCACTGCTGGACATAGGCCTCCCCCAAGGATCTCCACAACGATCGGTCCTGCGCTGCCCGCATCCAGCGTTTTCCCGCGACCTTCACCAGATCGTCGGTCCACCTTGTAGCGGGCCTTCCCACTGAGCGTCGTCCGGCACGCGGTCGCCATTCGAGAACCTTTCCGCCCCAACGGATATCGGTTCTCCTCGCTATGTGTCCCGCCCACTGCCACTTCAGCTGGGCTATTCTTCGAGCTATGTCGGTGACTTTAGTTCTCCTACGGATCTCGTCATTTCTGACTCTATCACGCAGGGAAACACCAAGCATAGCTCTCTCTATTATTATTACTATCAACGTTTTAATTACAATCATGCCAGAAGCAGGAGTAACATTAAAGCACCTCGCTCACTAGACGACCACGGCTGGCCGTAAAAGCGGCCACAGTGCTGGTTGCCTCTTTATTTCATTAATAAACTCTACGATTCACGAAACGAACGATACGAAGCGTGTTCATTCACGAACTGTCCGCATGACACTGAGAATTAGGCTTGTTGAAAATATATCGATATTTTTTGCCGATATATTTTGATTCGATACATCGATACAAAATAACCAATATCGAAATTCGTATCAAAAACGATATTTTTTTAATTATTAGCGGCATATCACGATCTAACTAAATTCGTATCTGGAAAAATCGTAACTGGATCTCAGATTAATGATATTCAACATATCTATGATCTGTGCTGTATTTAGTATTGTCTATGTCATCATTCGAAAATAGGGTCTATTTTTAGGGAGATAATTTTCGTTCCATTATTATTCCGCGTGTCATATTTCGTGAGCTACTGTACGATATTTTTAGGAAAATTGGTCCGATATATCGATATATCGACGTTTTTTTCGCGATATATCGAAGACGATATTGATATTTTTTAAAAGATCGATATATCGATATTTTTTTCAACTTTCGACATCCCCACTGAGAATGGATGGTAGTGGCATGGCCGCATTAGCGGTCGCAAATCTAGTGCGCGGGCGCTCATAGCATACTTATTATACGCGAGTTAGCCGCAACAACCACACCATTGGTGTCGATTCTAGCCTAATTCTCTAAATCTAAACTTAAATTTGACAGCAGTACATCCTTGTCATTCTCTACACAGAATGAAAAGGAGAGACTGGTGTTAAATTTAGTTTAAAGTTTAGATAATCACGCCAGAATTGGGCCCATTGTGTAACTAAAAAGAAAATTGCATATCTATCGATGCTTTTCAGAACAAGTATCTTAGTGGTTTTATAATTAAGCAGTAGTAGATCACTTAATAGCTCGGTGATTATCACTTTCACCTGTCAAAAGCAGTTAGCGAATAGGTCTACTGGCCGGATCGTGGCCGTCAGTAGGCAAAGTTCTTAACACTAGGATCCATAATAACACCATCAATCAAAAGTTATTATTTCTTTCATAACACTCTTCTAATTTTGCATTCAACAATTAGATCTTAAAAAACTTCACATGAGAAAATTTCAATTCAATCCATTCAACATTTCGAGCCGTTACCGCCAAATTATCGTAAGCGACACTTTTGTCGTAATGCGTTTTTTGTGGAAACTAATATTTTAAACCGTAACGGACCCATCTCTGTTGATATTTCCCTCCAAAAGAACACCGTAATAATATAATAGAGGGAAGAATAGAGGGAAATATCAACAGAGATGGGTCCGTTACGGTTTAAAATATTAGTTTCCACAAAAAACGCATTTCGACAAAAGTGTCGCTTACGATAATTTGGCGGTAACGGCTCGATTTATTGCAGACCATAATACAGATACTAAGGTGGTAATTTTAACAGATAAAAAGTGCATTATGGATCCTGTATGGTATCGCAATGAGGGCTACCGTTTTCTGTCTCACCAGATGGCGCCTCTGTTGAGTGAGGTCCTAAATTGTAACTTTTAAAGTTTATTAATACGCACATGAAATCAAAGGTTACATTTAGATCGTATTTTAACACAAAAGAACCATATCCTAAACATAATAGGCCATGCCACAGTGACGCCCAGTTCCGTTTTATTCGGAAAAAATGGGAACATAATCATTTTTCTAAACTCAAATTTTTTAATAACACACATAACTCATATTTGCCATAATTAAGCCGAATTGTTACCAATTATTCACAACATTATTTTAATAAGAAATAAACCCGCGTAGTCAACCAAAAAGCAATAACATTTGACATTTCGGAGACCTCACGCTACACTAGCGCCTCTAGCGGCGGATTCATACGCGATAGCCCTCATTCAAATACAAGTACAAGGTCTCCCGCGCCGTAGATTTACGAACCGATGGCGTAGCTTCTAGACATTCATATGTACTTGTAACAGCCTAAACTGAATAAATGATTTTGATTATGATTGATAATGATTAAATACTTGGCATCAGGCTTTTCTAGGCAAAATAGGCTATACATATACAGGTGTCCCACGGGTTTGTCACACGGAGGGAAAATATATTAAATATTAAAGATGTTTTACTGAAAGAAGAAGTCATTTTATCTAAAAAAAAGTATTACTAGAAAAAAATAGTTTCTAGTAAAACTTTTCTTTAGATTTAAACATCTAGCAGTCAAATACTTAAAAAATAAATAAAAACATAAAAAAAACATTTTATTTTTAAAAATAAGTAGAACTCTATTCACAGTTTTTACAAAAATCGCCTGCTCTTGGATTGAAACTCGTGAAATATGAAAAAAAGCGGCCAAATGCGAGTCGGACTCGCCCATGCAGGGTCAAGGGCGGATCCAGGGGGGGGAGGTCATGGGGGTCATGACCCCCCCCCCTGGGTTGGGTACAGATGGACCAAACCCAGGGGGATTTTATTTAAGTACTTTCAATATTTAATATACCACGACTATACGACCCCCCCCCCCCCTGGCGCCAAAGCTGGCTATATGACCCCCCCCCCTGGCGCCAAAGCTGGCTATATGACCCCCCCCTGGCGCCAAAGCTGGCTATATGACCCTCCCTCCTGGCGCCAAAGCTGGCTATATGACCCCCCCCCCTGGCGCCAAAGCTGGCTATATGACCCCCCCCCCCCCTGGCGCCAAAGCTGGATCCGCCCTTGTGCAGGGTTCCATAGTAGCAGGTAACAAAAAATATAAAGTTTTTGTAGTTCGTTGTAACTTTGACCGATGTTTTAATAATAATAGTCTATTTTTTTTAATTGATTTGTGATTTATGACGTATTAAAAGAAACTACTTACTAGATCTCGTTCAAACCAATTTTCGGTGGAAGTTTGCATGGTAATGTACATCATATGTTTTTTTTAGTTTTATCATTATCTTATTTTAGAAGTTTCAAGGGACGGGACACACATTTTACCACTTTGAAAGTGTCTCTCGCGCTAACTATTCAGTTTAGAAAATAATGATATTAGAAACCTCAATATCATTTTTGAAGACCTATCCGGGTGATTCTCAGTTAAGAGGTAAGCGGTTGTATGGAAGCAGCGGCACAGCAAAAAGTGGCGATATTTATATAACTATATCACTACTTTTATCAAGACAGATGATTTAAATATAATTTTAAGATGATCAGTCATTTTTTTTTATTTATTCTCGTTTTACGAGATACCAGGGGAGATACTGAGTACAGGGTACAGACAAGATGAACTTTATTGCAATGCACTTAGAGCGCATATTAGGATACACTGTAAAGTACTTATTCGTGCAATCAGATTTTAGTGGAATAACGATATAAAGCGAAACAATTATCTAAAATATATGTAATTATACATTCTCTAATAAATTATCCTTACTGTTATTGAGCTATTGCTATGTTTTTATAGTTTTGTTAGTAGCCTGGCCAGGGGAAATATGGCAGGGGAGAGACAGTTTCGTTAAA